TCAAATGAGAATTGTGGTACATTGATAGTAAGATATGCAAAGCTTTTTTGACTTAAAGTGTATAATCTAATATGAACTATAAGTAATGACTGTGGTAGAAATGCAAGAAAGTTATCTGCAGCCAATCGACACGCTTTCTACAAGATGTAATGAAGGATGATTCTCTTTTTGTGTGGTTTTGTTCAATTAAAATAAAAAGACTTTTCAATCGAGGGAGCTGCGTAAGGGCTTCTGTGTGTGCTGCTGTGTCCTTTAGGGTGAACTGCTTTTTCATTCTTCGTTTCTTGGACCCGTATAGAGTGTGTGATCGTTACAAACCTACTAAAGTAATTAAATTAAATTGCCTCACTGAAATACTCTTCTCACATCAGCTCACAACCACTGACCAGGCTGCGTCGCCAATGTGAAATGTGGCAAGAGTTAAAATGAGATGGATTTTCTTGGTTCTTGCAATCTAATCCAAAACTTTCCTTGAGAGAAAGAGGCAGAAGGGGTGGGGGGTGGGGGTTGCAACGCAGAGCCTTATCTCACCACTCCCCTGAAAACACCCCCTCCTCCCCCTTGCAAGAGCCCCTGTCCCACTCAGGCTGAGGCTCACCAGCTCCAAGATGGAGGTGCAGAGGGCGAGGAACCTGTGAAGGAACCCGTCTGCGTTGCTGTTCATCTGGGCCAGAGACCGCTTGAGTTCAATGAAGTTGTAACACCTGCTGGCGCCAGTTGGCAGCCAGTGGACGGATTGCAACTCCTGCAGGAGTCTAAACAGGAAAGAGAGAAATCTCTGCAGAGGCCGCAAAGCAGTGGAGGAACTCCTGTGACCCCGGGGTCTCCTCACTGCCTTCTCAGCAGAGGTCCTGACCGGTTCTGGAAAACCGATAGCAGAGATCTGGAGGAGTTTGGAGAACCGGTAAATGCCACCTCTGGGTGGCCTCCACACCCCCCCCCTCTAGTCTCTGCCTCCCCAGTCCCAGCTGATCTGGAGGTTAATGGGGGTTTTGAAGTAACCTTCCCCAGCCACGCCCACAGAACCGGTAGTAAAAGAAATTGGATCCCACCGCTGCTTCTTGGCACCCCAACCTGGATATGTGAAGAAGTGCTGCTCCAAAATGGGGCACAGCTTGAAGCAACTGGAAGTTCAGCTTCTCCCGGAGTTTCAAGTATTGCAAATATTTGACGTTAACGCACCACCTGGGAGGAGGGGGGGGGAGAACCAGCTGAGAAAGGCTGAGTTACCTTCTTCCTCCGAGCAACTCTCCACAGAGCAGGGAGGAGAGGCCCCTCCTAATCCCCCATCTCCACACCCCCCCAGGGCTCCTACCGAGTGAAGGCTTTGCGGACCAAGAAGAGGCGGAAGAAGGGGATGTGCTGCATCAGCTGCCACAGCCGGGCCTCCCGATGCCAGTCGCCCAAGGAAAGCGCCACGGAGCCCTCCTCGGGATGCACGCACAGCACCCCGAAGGGCGAGAAGACGTAGTGCTGGGGCTTGATCAGGTACCCCGGGACGGTCACTAGGTCGTAAGGCCTACAGCCAGGGCGGGAGGAAGGCCATGGAGGAAAAAGCCCTTCACAACGCCCGTCTCCTCGGACAGGCTGGGCAGCCCCGGCCCGCCAGGAGCCTCCGCTCCGCTCAGAGGCTGAGGCCCGCCGCCCCACGCCAGCCGATGACGCCCGTCCCCAGCATCTGCGCGGGGAAGGCCAGCTGGCAGCCGTGTAGGGAGGCAAAGCCCGGCGAGCGGGGGCTCTAAAGGGGGCGACGCGGTACCTGAAATGCCGGTTCGGGGCAGTGTTCAGGTAGAAGAAGCGGATCTCCCCCGCGTGGTATCTCCCGGAGAGGACTTCGGCTACTTGGAACCCGCTCATCGGGGCCTGTCTGTCCGCCGGGGGCGCCGCGACCGGGAGCCCGGGGGCCGGTGCGGGGCTGGCCACCTCGGCAGACTCCAGAGACGGGCTGCGGCAGGGGTGGGAGCGGGGGTCAGACTGGGCTCAGGCGGCCTCCCTGCCGGCCTCGCTCCGAGCCTCCCGCTCTCCCACCGGCGGGGCTCACCGGGCAGCGCAGGCGAAGTCCACGGGCAGGGCGGCGGCCAGGGCCAGGGGCAGCATGCCCAGCCCACCCGCCCAGGGGGCTTCCAGGCGGGCCACGCGGCCGCCCACCGGCCCCACGCAGCGCTGCAGCTCCGGCAGGGAGACGGG